AAAAGAGAGAGGAATCAATAGGTAGAGAATGTAAGTGAGACGCTGTAGTAAAATATTTAATAGTATACAGATAGGATGGCATCGCTGAAGAATAGCGACACGGAAGCCAACCGGGAGCCGGCTTAATTAATTTTATTTTGGAAAAGAGAAAGTTGTGAAAATGTCCAAGACCCCTGCGACGTCCGGGACTTTTGTGGAAACCACGTCCTCGGTTGGGTGGGGTGAGGTACAGGTGTGGTACCACCGTTGTACCAGTAAAATTGAAGTCACGAAGACTTAGCTCCGCAACCTTTTTTAATAAGGTGGAAATGGCTCCAACTCGTTTGATCAAATGAGCGCCCTTATATAATTCAGCTTAGATTTACAGTACTTGTAGCTGTACTGCCTGCGTCGCGGAGCACTTCAGCGTGCACATGCCCTTTTAATTCCTCGAATGAACGCAGTGAAATCTGAGGAAAATCGTGAAGTATTGATCTAGCGAGCCCGCGCGAGATTGGTTGCGGCACCCGCTCAGCAATCAAAAGTGGCTCACAATTTGTTTTCATCGGATGGATGCCATATGAAAATCCATTGACTATTGTAGACTAGCTAGCTTGTGTCCAGCCACAAGAATTGTCCGGTAAGCTGCTTCATGTGCCCAAACTTAGTACGCACTCTACTGACTGACTAGTCCCTTTGAAAAGTGATAGTGCAAGTCTCTGAAAGCCATCTTGCCCACAAGTGGATCCATCCAGAAGCAAGAATGCGGGAAGGCATCGCAGTCTAGTACATCTGGTGGGGACAGAGGAGTGTAGGACCGAGCCACATGCCTACGGTACGATACTGTACATGCAGACAGATTGACGCTCCTCAACGTATCTATTTCGTTTCCAGAAATAGTCCTTGTTCCATAACGGTACCGCAGACTCATAAGCCCAGGCAACCAAGCCAGGGATCTCTTATATTAGTACCATAGAAGACATCTGCAGCTCAAGACCGCCATGCTGCTGCAGAGAGAGGCAAAGCTGAAATATTGTTTTCTTTCAATTCTACCACAATGGTCAAAATCATACATCGAAGCTATACCTTTTTATTTAGACCAATACGACCATCGGCAGAGCGCTGGAAACAGTGAATTTTGCATGCTGCCGCAGCCCGATTGACGCTACCGGTACCATCTACTACGATGCTGCCAGCAAGCGGCTACCATTACTATACAGTTATAAAAGGATCGACAAAAACCTACTCACGCCAACCTATCAGCCACCCCGGTCAGCCACAGCTGCCATCAACAAGGTCTTTGAAATCAATTATTGTTATGGTAAATATTTATCTAGCGAGGTACCGGTACAACGTCTCGGCACTCAGCACTGGCAGCCAGAGAATATCAGGTGCTTTCGCAGGAAGGGAAGAAACAGTCCCGACCAAACCAATGATACATAAATTTCACCTCCTTCTGGGAGTGTGCTGCCTGTGAGGGTGCCCTTTGCTATCTCTGTGGAGATCAACCCTGGCTTCGGTTGGGGGAGACTGTCCAAGGCTGAGCCGCAGGAATACGAAGCAATGCAAGGATGGATTCGATTCTGACAAAGGAACGAAACTTAGAAGCAACGAAGAGGAATGAAAAAGAACGAACACCCAGTAAATGATACTAGTAGTCTAGTGGATTGGAACCTCCCCGCATTACTTTGGCGTCTGCCCCGCAACATCTCTTCGTTGCGTTGCGTCCGCTTATACAACAAAAGGCTCAACAGCTGCTCAACGATGCCGCTGCCGCGCACTCCCACGCTTAGTTGTATACTCCTTATTCCTTCACCTTTTGTGAGCAGGGGAATTCTGAGGGGAATGGAGGAATTCCCCAATTCCTCGAAGGAGCAGGAACAAGACTGTCCAGTCATGAACATGACTGGGAGTCATGAATCAGTACTGTTCTACACAAGTCTACGTGGAGTCACTAGTGGTACTGGCAGTTAATTCCTTTACCCCATTCCCTTTCCCTCTAATGCTTCCTTCTAACCCTGAAGGAATAGTGGAGGAATTCCCGGAGTGGGGGAATTCCGCGAAGGAGAATACAGCTAAGCTCCCACGGTGTGCCGGTACTAGTATCCCACGAGACTGATTGTCTCGCACTTTCAGAGCGACGATTCAATCCTATCTTGCTGTACTGGTGTACCGTACGTGCTACTTGTAATATTACTATAATATAGCCAGCTAGTACAGCAATGTGACTTTCCATAAAGTCCTGTTTCCCGCAGAAGTTTTACAGGGAAAACGTCAGCGCTGGTACCAACACAGTGTACTGGTGACCACGTAATCTGGACTCTTTGGGGAAACGGGGAAACTGATCGATAAGACATCAATCATATCATATATTTAACTCCTTAATGCCCTTGCAACTCTACTCCTGCAGGTACTCAATAGACTTTCTGTCATTCAGAAAAGTATCAAAAGTATCCATGAATCATGATTAGGTCACTTGAATGCATTCCACGCCCTTAAACCTTACACTGCATTTCACAGAAATAGTCTAATCCTTTGGTTTGTCCATGCCAAGATGGTTTCCAAATCGAAATATCCCCGTCTACTCGCATATTAAGTGGTTAATCGTCTGGCCATCACTCCGTAAATTCAAGTCGAGCAATGCTGCGTGAGCTGCTGCGTGCTGCGTGCTAACTGACTTGCTACCTGGTACCTGAGTTCTGGGCTACGCGAAGTTGGGGATGCTGGCACCATGCCTATTACAATGCCTTCGACTGCTACTATTAATAGCTAGCTGGCCAGGAAAGAACCTGTCCAGCAACCATACGAGTTGCTGCATTGGCCTTTACGTGTGAGCAAGCTTCTGGCAATGGTTGGCTAGCTAGCTAGCTAGCTAGCTAGCTAGCTAGCTAGCTAGATACACTCCAGAACCTTCACGTGTTAGTTCCACGAAAAAACGATACGATTGGTTTCATGCATCATCCGGGCATCCATTGCTTGTGTCCAGCTTCTCCTGTGTTCAGACAAAACCGCTAAAATGATCCGATGTCCGTGTGGATTTCTGAACAATGGAAATTATCAAGGCTAACTGCTAGCTAGTTTCAGTGGCCTTGACATCCTGCGATGTGATGACATGATGACGAAATACTAAAGAATTCATTACGAAACTTAAGTTCCTAGCAACTCATCATGAATGTCATTCATACCATCATTCGTCTTCATCACCATCATTCGTCTTCATCACTACTAGTACTTTCGTCGTCGCGACTTTCTGGGCATCCATTGGCACGTGCCCATTCCACCATCTCCCAATGACCTCCTGCAGCAGCTGCCCCACATGTACCAGAGTCCCATGGGCAACCTTTCTCGCGGAGAAACTTGAGAATCTCCAAATGGCCACCTTCAGCAGCTCCTGAAGTAGTTTCTTCATCCCAAGGGCAACCATTTGCCCAAGCCCATTTAACAATTTCAAAATTACCTCTGTAGGCAGCCAAAAAACATGTATCCGCATCCCATGGGCATCCATTCTCACGAGCCCACTTCAGCAGTTCAAAATGACCATCGCTTGCTGCTGCTGTACATGTATCTGAATTCCAGGGGCACCCATTATCGTGCAACCACTTGAGGCAATGTAGATGCCCAGAATTCGCCGCCACCTTGCATACTGTTTCATTCCATGGACATGAATTCTTGCGCAGCCACTTCAGAATGTTCAGGTGCCCACCAACTGCGGCACCAATGCAAGCATGTTCGGTCAATGCACAGCCACTGTCGTGAACATACTTCAGAACATCCAGATGTCCATTTTCGGCGGCATGTCTGTCTATCGTTTCCCCCCATGCGCATCCATTCTCATGAGCCCACTTGACCACTTCGAGATGACCTTCTGATGCAGCCACCTCACATGTAGATTCATCCCATGGGCAACCATTCACATGTGCCCACTTGATAATATGCAAATGTCCATGCTGGGCAGCCATGAACTTTGTCCCGGCATTCCATGGGCAGCCATTCTCACGCAACCATTTCAGAATATGGAGGTGTCCACTCATAGCGGCACCACAACATGTCCTTGCGTCCCAGGGGCATCCATTGGCACGCAACCATTTCACCGTTTCCAAATGACCACCTTTGGCAGCATAGGAGCACGTGTCTGGACCCCATGGATATCCTTTCTCTCTAGCTAGCCCACTGAATCACATGGATGTTTCCAACGTTGGCAATTTCCATACAAACTCGGTTGTGCAAAGGAAGTTTGATGCTCGTGGGATTTCTTTTGTTATCATCATGCCAGTATTGGGCACATGATACGTTGTAGAAAGCGGCGCCAAAAAGGGTATGTGTGCTCGTAACTGGCGGTCTGCGAAACTCCATTACTTCCTTATCCCAGCCATTCACGAAAAGAGGAGGATCCTTTACTTTATCACAATACTCTTTGTAAAGCTGATTCAGTCGTTTGTTGACAGCCCCCACATAGGCATAGTGCCCCATGCCCACAAAGGGAAGGATCTGTCCAATCCAAACATCTTTTCGATCCAACAAGATATTATTATTAGCTGGAGGATCCAGTTTCTGCTTTTTGGCCGCAGGTTCAGAAGTAGTCGAAAACATGATGATGGTGAATGATACCGTATCACGAAGCAGTTCCAAAATTATGGTGGACGCTCTTCTCGGCGTCTCACTCCTTTACTCTTGTAGTTGTATGACTGCTGCTGTGATCGATCAAGTCTTTGTGAGCCAAGTAGACTACGGTACCGGTACTATCAAGAGCAACATTGGATACCCCACACTTGCAGCCTGCACGGAGTGGCTGCTCGTCCGAGGTGCTCTCTTTCGTTTCGCCGTTGAAAAACAATGATGGGTGCGCCAAATCCCCACCAATTGCGCCAATACACTTAAAAAAGTTGAAGGACAGACGTATCTTTACTCAAAGTTGCAGGGCAGACACCCTTCAGTATAATGCCCTTTTTGACCATCAATGCCCCAATTTCTGTTCTGATCGAGACTTTAAATCTATTATTTCCACAGTATTTTGTATTATTTAAGACTTTTTGCCTCGTTCTCTGTCGAAGCAAAGTGTGTATTTAATGTCACTAGCTGGCACTCCAAGTGGCAGATTCACCCTTCTGTTTAGTCAAGCTATTTGTTTAACCACCAAGAATCAGGAGAAAGGGGATCGGCAAGGTCTTTAACTGTCCTTTATGGTTTCAGCTTCACGCCACATACCGCAATGCCACATCGACGAATGATGGTCAAGGAAGTGAATTCGGAGGTTGTGGCCACCATGCACACCACAAGCTACAAGCTGCTCCCTCTACGTACACAACAAGCGGCGTGTGAGCAGTTTCACAAGACCGCGAAGCCTCCTTCCACTCGTTTCATCTCAGCACCATTTCATTCTCTTCTTGGAGTGAAAAGACTAGCTATCTATCTGCTCCAGTTCGTACTGTAGTAAAGGACCGATCAATTGGAGCTCCAGAGATCTGTAGACAAAGACAAAGAAAGAGAGATTGACAATGAACAATAGCACCGCCACTAGCAGCCGCAGCCGGACCAGCAGCCGGAGCCGGGACCGCACAGGATCCTCGTCTTGCAGCACCGCCGCTCGTGCTCGTCGCACCAAGAAAAAGAAGAAGAGCTGTTTCTTTCCATCGATTTGGACGGGTCGCATTTTGTTTTTGAGTTGTTTGGCCGCCAGTGCCGCCATTTTGGGATACTTTGCGCACAATATCATTTCCAATAGTGAAACGGAATTGGCGACGCAACAGTACGAATCGATTGCCGATCGGGCATTACAAGCGGCGAAACAAGAGACCATTCACAAGACCCGCGGTGCCAAAGTCATGGCATCGATCCTTTCCAATCGATTTCCATATGCCAACGAATGGCCGTTTGTCTTGTTGGAAGGCTATGAAGAGATTGCCACCGATTTGATTCAAGCCAGTGATGGACGGGCCATGGGATTCTGTCCACTCATTCAACCGGGCGAGGAGTACGAGCGATTTGAAGCGTTTGCCTACAACTATTTCAACGCAACGTTTGGACCGGACCATAACATTGGTCTGCCCGGCATTTACGGACAAGCCAATATGAGTGACGGAGGCAAGTTTCCCGATCGCGATGGACGCTACTTTGATCCGCTTGTTGGCGCCTACGTCAATACGTCCAAGTACACGTACTTGTCCCCCATGGTCCAACACAACAATGGCAATGGTTCTGTCATTATGCGCAACATTCGCAATGATCGAGGACGCGGTCCGACGATGGATCGTATGATGGATTGTTTTGCTACTAGCGATGGCAATAGTACCACGGACTGTAGTGTCATTTCCAGTTTTATCATTTCCGGAAGTGGTCAACCGTCGGCGTACATTTATCAACCCATTTCGCCCAAACACAATCGATCCAAGGTAAGAGTCAAGCTCTCTCTCAACCTGATGGGTGCTGCCATGTCTTGGCTTGTCACTCAAACTCTCTTTCTTCTTCTCCACTTGCAACCCCTTTTCTATTCTATTCTATCAGTTGACGGGCTTTATTTCCGGTGCCATTCAGTGGCAGGAAACACTCACCAACATTTTCTCCGATCAAGTCTCGGGGATTGACATGGTCATTTCCACCGCCAATCAATCCTTTTCCTACACGGTGCAACAAGGAGAAACCATCTTTTTGGGAGAAGGCAATCGACACTCGTACGAAGGCAACAAATGGAATCCCTATCAACGATCCATTTCACTGACCCAAGATGCGTTTGATGACCGAGGTGGATTCTCGTATACGCTGACACTCTATCCCACGGATGAAATGTTTGACACGTATCGGACCAAGAATCCGTCCGTGGCGGCGTTTGGAGTTGTCCTCATCATCATCTTTACATCACTCCTGTTCCTACTATTTGATTGTCTCAATCACAAAAAGATTCAAGAAAAGGGTTCCCTCTTGGAAGCCAAACGAGAGTTTATGCGATATGTATCGCATGAAGTCAGAACACCACTCAACACGGTGTGCATGGGGTTGAAACTGCTCCAAGAAGATCTGCAACGGGCATTTGGAAGCAGCAGCAGCAGCAATACGACTGTTGCGGCACCACAACAGAAGGAACAAGTCAAGCCTCTGTTCGCCATTGCGGCGCCCCCTCCGCCAGTACCAGTAGAGCAAAAGCCGCAAGAATCGGATGATCAAGCGGCCGTACAAGCCAGTGTCTTGCAACTCTCCGAGGATATTCTACTCTCGGCCCATGCCGCGGTGGGCGTTCTCAATGACTTTTTGAACTATGACAAGATCGAAACCAAATCCTTGAAACTGGACTTGTCCGTACTCAACATTTGGCAGGAATTGGAACAGACCGTCAATGGATTCAAAGTACCGGCCGATGCCAAGACGATTGATTTGCAATTGGACTTGTGTGGTGGAATGCTGCAAGGCGATGATGTTGAAAATGGACAAAAGACGGCCAACGATTTGCCCTTGGCCATGCTCGAACGAAGAGTCATTGGGGATGAAGCGAGAATCTCACAAGTCTTTCGAAATCTTCTCAGGTAAGAACATGTTTAGGTTTCTGTCGTTCGTCACTACAGACTGTGCAATGCGAGTGATGTTGCTTGTGCATTCTCTCAATCTCTCCTTTCGCTCGCTTGTCTCCCACAATCAATCGCCTCCCACCACGCACAGCAATGCTCTCAAGTTTACAAAGGAAGGCGGAACGATCACGGTCGGTGCCAAATGGATACCATCGCCGACCACCTCCAAGGACGCCGCCGAGGACACTGTGGCCCTCTCGAATGGTTCCGCCGTCACTGCTAAACCCATGGGGTTAATTGAAGTTACCGTCCACGACACGGGCGAAGGAATGACAGAAGAACAGCTAGACACTGTCTTTGCGGCGGGAGTCCAATTCAACGTCAATGCCTTGCAGAAAGGAAACGGGTCCGGTTTGGGCATGTACATTGCCAAGGAGATTATGGCCCAACACGGTGGCTTGCTGACAGCCGAATCGGAAGGGATTGGCAAAGGATCCACCTTTATCATGCAACTCCCTCTCCACTACATTCCCGACGATAATCTTCCCGACAATTTGGTGCAGAAATTGCGGGTACGATCGGATCCCACTCAAGCCGAATCGGATTCTTCCAAAACCGATGACGAGCTCCAAAGCGAAAAGAAGATTTTCGAACCGCTACGGATTCTGGTGGTGGACGATGCGGCGACCAATCGAAAGCTGTTACGACGAATGTTGGAACGACGTGGACACATTTGCGACGAAGCACAGGACGGAGCCGAGGCCGTGCAAAAGGTTTTGGGAGATGGTACGGGAGCCGAAGCTCCATACTTTGACACGATTCTCTTGGATTTCCTAATGCCAGTAATGAATGGTCCCGATGCTGTCAAGAGGCTACGAAAGGCAGGATGTGATTCGTTTGTCGTTGGGATCACAGGAAACGTTCTGCCAGAGGACATTGCCCACTTCAAAGCATGTGGTGCTAATGAAGTCCTCCACAAACCAGTGGATCTGAACGCATTGAGTGCTCTGTGGATGGAATACGGAATCAGCGGCAGTGCAAAGGCAGATTACAGTGGTTAGGCGGGGTACTGGCTAGGGTGTGGGGGTAGTGGCTAGGGTGTGGGGGCAGAGCCATGATGTATGGTTGAGGGATTGAACGGTTGCGTGCAAAGCAGAATGCACAAACGCTGCAGCCTGATCAGACGAACGTGGGACTCCACAGTTGGGCCAGCTTCGCCTGCGTCTATACAGGCGAAAACTTTCTCTTTCCCACCAGTACAATCAACGGCTCCCGCAAGATAAGACCACAGAAACGAAGGACACTGCATACACGCAACTGACGACTCCCGCGAGAGGCATCAAGCACTACGATCCAACCAAACTGTGGGTTCTCCGTCTGCCACATCCTTCCTCCACCACAGTGTTGTATTTGTCGGCGGTTTTTGGTTCATTAAACGCAGATATCATTGCGTCTTTTTGTTACGGAGACGCTCTGAAAAAGGCATCATGGGGGATCGAAAAGCCCTGGAAGATGCATCAAAGCGACTTGCGAATGATTTGGCAAAACCGCTACCAGCGATATACCAATACAATCGTTGGCGCTTGGAAAAGATCATCAGCATTTGCGGGAGCCACCCAGCACTGGTTTCACGTGGCTTCATCTGCAAGTTTCGGAAGTCTTCTTTCAATCTCACGGAGGGTATTCGCTTGACACCCCTGCTCTTGCTCCTTAAATGTGGGCCCCCGTTGAAGGTTTTGCAATCCTTTATTGAGACACACAAAGCAGCGTTGCTTGATCCTGTGTATCTGTTAAACAATCGTCCCCTCTTCTTTGCATGTGCCCTTCCCTTTGTGGAAATGAAACGATGCCCTGGTGTCCTTGACTACCTTGTAAAGCAGTTTCCAATGGAGACCTCCGTTGAGTCTCGACTCCAACTCCTCGACGGTGCCCGATCAGGGCATGCTAACTGCAAAATGCTCCCGATCTTTGCATTGGTGTCATCGAACTATCCAGCGAGCTTGGCCGATGTTCAAAGTCTTTTCCAAGCGACCTTCGAACACTCTGGAACAGCGCTAACGTTTGATAAAGCAAGAGCAGTAGAACTGTTGCGCTCATCGATGAAGGGTTGTAACGAGAACGACGTGACGGCATACCTAACTGAGAAAGTCATTAGCTCTGGTCTGGACTGCCTTGAGGCTGAATGTCAATCGTGGAGCGACTGTAACATTGTATCGACGCTCCTAAAAAAACTATCACTAAGTCGAATTGATGTTGCCTTCGGAGAAGGCTTAAACTTCTCCGAAATCTTTGAGGAGATCATGGAAACATGGACAAAGAATGCTCAAACAATCAAGATCCTGAAGCTCTATCTGCCGAAAAAGCATCATCGCATGCGTGCAATGTCACTCGCATTGGCAGACAGGCTTGCGGCACTCCCGTCAACAAGTCTAGTAGAGCTTCACATCACCTTTCCTGGCGATGGTACGAAAGGGTTGTCATTCTATTATGAAGATGATCATTTGGGATCCAGGGACATTTCAAGTCCTATTGCTGGGTTGATCCAGCGCAATCCTGGTCTGAAAAAGATCATTTTGCATTGTTGGTTTCGAGTTGAGCCAATGTCATTTTTTCAAGCCGTCGAGAGCCACGGTTCTTCGTTGGAGGAGTTCAAAACATGTTTCCTATGCCACAGTGGCCAGGAGTATCAAGATGCACTCGAAGCTCTTGTGTCATTGTTGGGTCGAAGCACAAGCTTGACATCGGCGGAACCTAGGTTCCCTTCGGGTGCTTCTTGGCTGAAAGATAAATCCAACATGAATCTGATCCGCAAAGCGAAGTACCTTCAAGACCTCAATTTGCTTGGACGAAAGCAAGCGCGAGAGAACATGTATGAATTGGTGAAAGTGCTGGCACCGGTGCCACAGGATAGCATTGGCAAAACCAACGCAGATGCCTCGTGTATCAGAAGCAAAAATCCAAACTCTGACAAGTCGAGGTTTGGTTTTGACATTGTCAGCTTGAATTACAGTTTGCTTCGTGAAAACCCGAGCTTGTGGTGTGATGAGGCGGCTGCCGACCAAACGCGGACCATGTGCTGCCAACAAGTGGAAGAAGCTTAAGCGATCTCATTCCCGAAAGTCATAATGATTCAGCTGCGGCCGGCCGCTATCTTCTTTCGGAGTCCTCCAAGAGCCATATACGGTTCCATTCTTCGGCACTACTGAAGCCTGCTTTTGTATTCCATTCGTTGTCGGTTACAAAGATGTACCTTCTTTCCAACTCCTCCAAGAGGCCTACATGGTTCCATTCTATTGACGCCTGCTTTTGCATTCCATTCATCGCTCTCCTCAACATGTATACAGAGTGATTCTCATTCAATCTAACAACAGTAATAGCAGTTTTTATATTAACTTTTTGTCTGCGTTCTACCTCTTCTTTTTGGGAGCTCGATGACAATCAAAATAACACTTGCGACAGAGCCGAACAGGTGGTTCGTCGGCTGTGCGAGGATAGGCAGTGCAATCTCGATGACATCCTCCCCGAATCACCATGATGCGGACATGTCTCCCGTTTTTTCGGAATTTGGCCTTTTCGGCAGTGGATGCCATGGCAAAGCATCGTTCACACGCTCCCTTTGTGGAGTGCAAGTTGGGTAGATATTGTTCCGAATTGCAAATCAACTGACTGTACTTGTCCTTCTTCTTCTTGTGGCTATTCGTGTCGCCGGTCGCTGTGCTTTTGGTGTCCTCCGGTGGATCGTCGAGATGCCAAAAGGAACTCAAGGACGACGCACTGGATGCTCGACTCAACGTAGTGGCGGCACCACGAGGAACGGTCGTCTGTTCCATGGACGATCCAATGGAACTAATTCCAGAAGCGTCGTCTTCGCAAAATGTTCCGGCGACGGGTGGTGGCTCTTCTTGTTGGTCCTCTTCGGTTGTTGGAGGTGGTGGTTGTTGTTGTGGACTATTAAATGTTTGTGGTGTCATGATCAAGTGTCCATTGGTGGTATTATCGAGTGCATTGGTGGATGCCGTGTCCGCCCGCGAGATACAGGGACTGCCAGTGCTCGGGGTATGCCTGGAGAATGACAGGGATGCTTGCATGGCCATAATAGAGTTCATGTGATCTTCAATGGTGGAGCTTGCGACACAATCATATCCGGTTGGAGACGATCGTTCTTTGGGTGTGTCATGGTTGGAGGCGTGGCTCTTGTTGGTGGTGAGTTCAACGCTTCCATCATCGTCCGATTTGGTTGGCTCTTCTTCTTCTGTATGACTAGTGGCGGCCAACAAAGCTTCACATTGGGCAATCATATCCTGAGCCGATTCTAGAAACGATGTTCCACCTTGTTCCTCGTTGTCCATCACCATTTCTTCCTTCTTTTCGTCATTGAATTCATAATGGTGGTTACTATTGCTGTTGCTGACATCCTTGCAAGAAGGAGTGTGGATTGTTGCTTCCGAGTGGTAGTTGTTGTCCACCACAAGGTTGTCCTCTTGCTCCTGAGGGTGGTCCTCCATGGAGTCACCATCGGTGGTGAAGAATCCCTTGAGTTCCGAGTGTACGAGCAAGAGAGAGTCCAAATGTGTGACGGTGGGATCCTCTTCTTCTTCTTCCTCCTGATTGTGGCTCTGATGATGGTCGTTGTTGTTCACCACCAATATTTCTGTTTCCTCCAATGGCGAAGACTGTTCCGTGTCTGGCAGATTGGTGGATTCTCCAGTATCCGTAGTTGTAGTTTCAGTAGCCACTACGTCGACTTGTTGTCTATACGCCTGTAGTCTTCGTAATGCTTCTTGCTTTCGCTGTCTCCATTCCGGACTTCCGAAAAAGTCGACTTGGGCCATGCGGGAATATGCCGATTGAGTGGGTGTCTGTGGTTGACGAGGGGTTCTCTTGTTGATCATTTGAATCGCATTGGCATCGAGTCGAAACTGTTGGAGTTGTGTCATGGCACCCAATCGCAATTGCTTGGCGGCCAATCGACGTTGTTTTTGTTGTTGGAAAAACGAGGAGAAATTGGTGGATGTCGGTGAAATGGCCGTATTGGAAAACGCTGCCTTTCGAGCCGTCAGTTGATTGAGTCTTCGCAAGGCTTCCAATTCTGCCTTGCGGCCGGCTGCTTTGGTGCGTTCGTCGACGTAGCGAATGGGAGTGTGATGATGGGAAGTTGATACTGCTTCATTCATACTGTTGCTGCTCTGTTGTGGATGAGTCCTCCAAGTTGGGGTTTGGGGTGAGTAGTGCTGTTGCTGATGCAGGTCATTATTCGTGGTCATGGTTGGCTCTTCTGCAAGATACTACTATGATTGCCTGGTCGGAATGTTCGTCTTGTCTCTCTTTCTTTGGCTCCGATAGCCTGATGATGCCTCTCACACAACAACAACAATCAAGACAACAAAGGTCTTTTTGACTCCACAAGAATGAATGCAAAAAAGTGACGCTTCTCGTTGTCGGAAGACAAGCAAGAGAGGAGGTTTGAATTTTCTTCGGAAATTCCAAGAAACGAACCAAATAGGTGCGCGCAAACGGTTACGCGAGCACAACTCGAACGTTAGAAGGAACAAAATTTGAGTCTCTCTGCTGTCTTATTGTAGTCGTACGACTGTCATTGGCAACAGGCCATTGGCAGCTTCCGTTCCGTGTCAGAGTTTGCTGGTTGCGTGTTTCTCCCGTGTCTTTCCAGAGTCATGCATGGTCCCACCAACAACAAAAGTTGGGTCTTCCTCCTCCATTAGTCTACACTAATGTCGATGACAACGCTGTCGTCCACCATGTCTACCAACGCCCAATCATCCACCATGCTACCCCAAAGTCAGGAAGTCCCTCTTTCCCAAGCGTTCGCCCTGTTGGCAGATGAAGAATACCATGATGTGTCTCTGAAAGGCACTGATGGAGTTTTGGTTGGAGCCAATCGAATGGCCCTGTCAGTCCGGAGTGACTACTTCAAGACCATGTTCAAAAAGGGTTGTCAATTCAAAGAGTCTACTGATAATGTGGTATCCATTGGATTTTCTGGCAAGATTCTCAAGGCAGTTGTCGAGTATATCCATACCAACACTACCAGTGCCTTTGTCATCCAACAAGACTCTTGTGGCATTTGGGGTCACATGGAACAATTCCAGACGTTACTGTCACTGACAGAAGCAGCAATTTACTTTGGTTTACCGGGCCTCTGTCAAAAGGCCAACAAATACCTTATGGACTTGCAGCTGGTAGAACCATCTGTGGCATTGGCGGTTTTGGCAGCGTCCAAACAACAACCCTATGGACCCGTGGTCACAGAGGAATTGATTGGCGTTTGCTGGGACACACTCTCCGAGACAAAAGCATTCCACGAAATTGTACTCTCGCAGATTTCTTCACAAGTTCTAGACGCCATTCTTTCAGACGCCAATCTATTGGACGATACCGCCATTTTCAACCTGATTCAGGCATGGTCTGCTGCTTGCACCGAACAAGCAGACGAAAACCACTGTGATGCTGTCAAAGCCTTGGTTCGGGATTTTGTCGACCTGGATTTTGTGGATCCAAATGTCTTGTCTACCACCCTTGGCGCGTCCGGTTTGGTGACAAGCGACCAAGTACTCGAGGCAATGGAACAGCAGGGAGCGGAAACCAAACAGCGAGTTTCCTGTCACGATGAGCCTCCTGTTGTTGTTGGCATGTGGGAATGGAAGGGCGCAAAATCCCAAACTCTCACTGCTACGGGTGACGATTGGAACAGTGACATTCTCCAAGGAGTAGCCTTCGAGTTGGGGCAAAAGTACCGATGGCAAGTCACCACCAACGATGACGGCTCGGAAGAAACCTTTCCGTTGGTCTGGCTGGGTCTGGCAAAACAGTCAACAATACGTACTCTCGTAAACCCAAACAAGTTGTGCGGTGATCAGCACAATTGTTGGGGAGTCTCGGGGATTACCGGATCGGAATATTCCAATGCCGACTCCGTTCATCGACCACTGGGTAATGCGGCCAAATTTGATGCCGGATCCAGTGTCACCATGACCCTGGATTTGTCCGCACGAAATCGCAGCAATGGGAGTTTATCCATTGCTGTCAATGGCCAAAAACCAATCCTGGCCATTTCCAATCTACGGGATCATTTGCTAGAAGATGAGAGTAGTGATGGTGGTGCTGCTGCTTTTGTCCCGGCGGTTTCCTGCCGAGGAGCAAGTGTTACAGTTGTGGATGTTCAGAGGATTAGTACCAGTGGTGATTCAAAGTTGTCGTCAAGCGATGGAAGGCTTTGGCTGTCAAAGCTATTGCTGTTTTCTTTGGTTCCGCTGTTGTTGAGCATTACTGAGCATTACATTCTAAGATAGATTAGAACCACCTCATGCATGTTTTGCTACTTTGTGATGTCCAGAGCTACGGTAGCAAGGTAGACTAGTACGAGTCGCGTCAAACCGATGCACTGCGGTAGGTATACCGGTGCATGCGGGTCTCCGTTGAGCTCCGAGTGGCGGGTAGAGACCATTGCCGCCACAGCAACTGCGTCATCTATTCTTCTTTCTCAGTTTTCTTATTTGGAATCTGGAACAGTGAACTAGCTAGCCACGGGATACTAAAAGGGACGACGATGGAGTCGCCGTCAAGCAAACGTAGAGAAATCACCGCGAGACTCTTTCTTTGCCTACTAAGCCTGGCCAGCGGCCGGCTTCCGTAGATAACTTCTCCACTCTAAAATCTCTTGATAACCAGAGAAGCTTCAGTTCTCCCCACAACTGCATTGGCTGCAAGTACACTCCACCGGAAAGGGATCTGGATCGCAATCTACTCGCACTTCCAATAAGTTTGAGTTCGAACAGAGTCCGCCGGGAACACTACCAGAGAATTTGTTGTCATGAAGTGATAACGTAACCAATCCAGTCAGCTGTCCAATTTCCGTTGGAATGTGGCTGGATAAATGGCCATGAGACAGGTCTAAAGAAGTCAACCTGGTCAGCAATCCAATCTCTGTGGGAGTAGGGCCCGATAACTGGCTGACACCAAAATCCAAAGATTTTAAACCAGTCAGCATTCCCACGTTGGAAGGAATCGTTCCATCCAACTTGTTTCGGCCCAAATCCAATGAAATCAATGTGGTCAATAAACACAGCTCGGACGGGATACTACCGGATAGTTGGTTGCCATGCAAACCTCCCAAGCCCAAGCTTTTCAAAGCTGTGAGCAATCCCAGTGTGGAAGGAATCTTGCTTGTGAGCTGGTTGTTGTCCAGATCCAACCAAGCCAGAGTAGTCAGCAATCCAATCTCTGAAGGAGTACTGCCCGATAATTGATTTCGGTCCAAACCCAAGCCAGTCAAAGCAGTAAGAGCTCCAATTTCAGTTGGTATGCTGCCTGATAATTGATTGTTGTGAAATGTCAAGACATATAACTCACTGAGCTGCCCAAGCTCAGAGGGAATGCCCTTTGACAATTTGTTGTTGTGCAAGCTCAAGGCTGTCACAGCAGAAAGGAGCCCCATCTCGGTAAGAAGATCGTTTGATAACTGGTTTTCACTCAAGTCCACAGAAATCAAAGAATGAAGCAATCCAATCTCGGAAGGAATACTGTTGGTCAACTGGTTGTGCTTCATCTCCAATCTCTCTATAGCAGAGAGGGACCCAATCTCAGTAGGAATTCTATCCGAAAATTGGTTGCTGGACAAGTCCAAGAGAGTCAGAGCAGAAAGAGACCCAATCTCCGTTGGAAGTCTGCCCGACAACTGGTTTTCCGATAATTCCAAGTGCCACAGAGCAGTCATTAATCCAATTTCAGAAGGAATAGACTTTTCTAGAGCATTGCCCCGAAAGAGAACTTCCTTCAAATTTGACAGCAATCCAATCTCTGTGGGCAGATTGTTGGATATTTGGTTGCCTTCAACCACCAACTGAGTCAAAGCATTGAGTGCTCCTAGTTCTGTAGGCAGTCTTCCAAATAGTTTGTTGTTGTCCAAGTTTAGGGTAGTCAGAGCAGTGAGGGACCCAATGTTGGTAGGAATACTGTTCGACAACTGGTTCTCTGACAAGCTCAGCCTTCCCAAGACAGTCAGACGTCCAAGTTCAACGGGAATGCTTTTGGAGAACTGATTGTCTGCCAGGCCCAAGATTTTCAGGGCGGTAAGGGCTCCTATCTCGGTGATTATACTTCCAGAAAATTGATTGTCGGACAAATCCAAAAGAGTCAAACCAGTGAGCAATGAGATTTCTGAAGGCAGAACATTGGACAATTTGTTCCAATAAAGATCCAATTTCGTCAAATTAGTGAGCAAACCAACTTCACTTGGAATACTCCCAGATATTCGGTTGGTATCCAGCTTGAGTTCTGTTAATGCGGTGAGCAACCCGATTGCCGAAGGGATGGTTCCATTGAGGTCTTGAAGCTCCCGATTAATGCTGGAGGTGCTTGTCACATCATAGGCTATACCGAATAACTCAACAGTGTTGTTGGGTGCTTTTCTGTTGCTAAAAACAAGCAAAGCAATAATGAGTGCAACAGCCAGCAAAAGAATTGCTACTACGCAAATTGCCTTGCGAAATGGAATTCCACAGACACGGAGGACTGGCGTTGCCCTGCTTCTTTCCATGTGCATTGATCGTATGTCATTGCTATTGTCTTCATCGTAGTACTTGTCAACGTCGAACGATTCCATCGTTGAGTCTTCTGCCTCCTACATGCATAGCCATGGCATATTATTAGTCATGCAACTTCAATGAGTGAGAGTCGAGGCTCGAGGACATACTAGTACACTGTTTCAACAGAGCAGTCTACATGAAGGTAAAACACTGCTTCAACACAATGAAAGAAGACTGTGAGGATCGAGTTGCTGCTCGCATTCGCGCGAAGGCTCGTGACTCATGATCCAAAATCTTTCTAAGACAGCTGGTTTCTGGATAGAGCAAGCCAGCTCTAAGCTTTAAGGGACCTTGTTCTCTGAAGATTTAGTAAATGAAAAGAGCCAGTCACAGTCGGAAACCAGAACAGCCAACAAAGATGAGGCAGAATCTTTTCCATCACTGCTGTCGGTGCTCCAACTCACGGCAACAACCTTTCCAGCATGGGTCCTACTACGTCGTTTGAGAGTCTGGAGGTGCCCCTTTCAAAGGCATTTGCTCTATTGGCAGGGAAAGAGTATCAAGATGTCTCTCTCAAAGGCACAGATGGCAAACTCGTTCCAGCAAATCGCATAGCCCTGTCAGTCCGAAGTGGGTACTTTAAAAGACTGTTCCGAAAGGGAGGATCCTTCAAAGGGCCCATTAATGATGTGGTCCCCATTGGATTTTCTAGCAAGGTCATCCAGGCAGTTGTGGAGTATGTCCATACGGACACATCCAGTGCATTGGTGGAATATTCCAAGAGCGCCAGTGTGGAACTATCTCGCGACATGATGGAAGAATTCAAGATCTTGGTGTCCTTGACAGAAGCAGCAATCTACTTTGGATTACCAGGCCTATGTCAAAGGGCTCAGGAGTGCCTTGGTATCCTTATGAATGTAAAATCATCTCTGGCGGTCTCTATTATAGCAGCATCCAAACAAGAGGGACCTGTGATTTCAGAGGAGATGACGAATCAGGCGTGGAGCATTTATGCCAGGATGAGCTCAAACTTGAATAAGCTTGTTCTAAGGAACATCTCTGCTGCAGTTCTAGCAGCCATGATTCCAGATGCCAAGGCAAAAATTGACAACACAAAGCTCTTCAATCTAATCTATTCCTGGTACAAAAGCCAACCATCTTCTCCCAATGAGTCCAAAAAAGACCGTCACACCTCTGCCCAGGCCATGCTCCGACACTATGTGGAGCTTGAGTTCATCGATCCTCATGAGCTGTCTACTCTTGTGGAACCATCAGGTTTGGTGACAAAGGACACTCTGTATGATGCTTTCAAAAAACAAGCCAAGAAAGCCAGGAATGTGACCTTCTACGAGCCCCTTATCGACGTTGCCCCAATGTGGAAGAGAACGGAATCAAAAACTGTCAACTCCCCTGGCTACGATTGGAACAGTGATGCTCTCAATGGGCCCAAGTTTGTTGCAGGGGAGACTTATTGCTGGACCATCACCACAGATTCCATCTCCGATGTCAACCCACATGTTTGGCTTGGTGTGGCGAAACGCACACACACACTCCTCCCAACTCAATTTTGCGGTTCCCAACAAGATTGTTGGGGTGTGTATGGGCTCACCGGACATGAATATTCGTATCCTTCCGTATATCAACCTTTGGGCAAAGCTGCCAAATTTGGAGAAGGATCAAACATCACAATGACACTGGATCTGTCAGCAGAAAATCCTAGCAATGGATCTTTATCAATTTCTGTCAGTGGTCAACAATCTATTACGGTGGTTTCCAACTTACGAGATCGTCTGGCTGGGAGTACAGATGGTTTTGTTCCAGCTGTGTCGTGTCTTTCAGCAAAAGCCACAATTGTGGATGTTCAGATGCTTGGCTGTTCTACGCCAAAGGGGACAAATGGGAGAAGCCTTTGGCTGTTGAAGACATTGCTGATTTCCATTGTTCTAATCATTATCAGCTGGTATGTCACTCTAGTGAGCCCCCCAATCCTATGGAGCCCAAATCCCAGTTTTGTCTTCTATTCCGCGAAGCCTGGCCCATTGCTGCCCTTCCTAAAGTAGTATCTAGTCTTTGATCCCACTTCTTGCCCCCCGTTATCGTTCTCATCGTCGGCCTTTGCTAGCACAAGGCGCGGGTGTCCAGCTAGACTACCAGGTACTGCAAGCCAGCATTAGGTTCCTCAGCCCCAGCTCGAGACTCCTTCCCTCGTGCTTAGGCATTGCTTCCTTAGACGACGCAAGCGGTAGGGCAAGTACGAGGCGTAGTGCAAGGATGTCTAAACTTCTGCCAATCTAATAATAATAATGATACCTATTTCACTGAATTGTGCATGGGAAACACCTACTGACTGTTCTTCTTCTTTTGGCAAGCAGGAAAGTTGCGGGCTATGTATTCGATGTGCCCCCGGGCCTTCGGATGATGTCGGCAATCTCGAGCACGTACGTGGTACAGCAATGTTGAAGTCGTTCTTCATGCTGCCATAGAGCCAATGGATGTGACAGCGTAGGTGTACTTGTACGCATGCTCTGCGAACCTGAAGTAAACTATGGCTGGGATCTTGACGTAGTCGTTGTTGCCAGGCAACAGATCCTAGACCAGCAGCGCATCGGAAGCAGCCACCAGCAGTCCAAACAGACGGTCGGAAGCCTTGTGCTACTCCCTGTGTTGGGAGGGGAGGTTGAGTTGCGCCACGGCCAGTACGGACTCGTGAAGGCAACAAAGGCAAGGACCAATCCACCAAGTTTGTTCCTCTTCCCACTGACGCTACTTGAGGTAGGCCACGATGCACTCGCCGAACTCCAAGAGCGCGTAAAATGCCGACATCCTTCGTCTCCGGTGAGCAAGGATGGTAATGTTGGCGTTGTGGTTCTCGCCGATGTTGTCGGTTGCTCTTGACATGGCACAATGCAAGGCGTGGCGACAGCACAGCAATAAAACTTCTTCAGTTTCTCCCAAATATCAGGATTCGCGAAGGGGTCCGCCCAAGAGTGACAGACAGGAACACTTGCAGTCATAGCGTCTGCCATGGTACCATTCGATCGCGTGCAGGTGCTACCGTATTTCTCCTGACGATCTGCTTGGTTTCACCGCCACCGCGAGGCCGATGAGGCATGTAGCCGCCCATCCCAAGGGCCATCAAACCATTCAATCTCTTCGCGAAGCCACGATAACCTACACACGACCAGGATCATGAGAGATTTTGCGAGTCAGTTCAGGGCAAGACATAATGAAGAAGCTCAAGATGGATACAAACGGTAGAATGATGGAAGCTTCGGCATTCGGCCAGGGCATGGAAACACCCACCGGGAAAGAAACGAAGGTCGCGAGGACGATCACTCTGTTGTATTAGAGCTTCAGTTCGTCCTGTTGTATCACGGACCAACTACCCCCCTTTCAAACACTTTGGTTCCGGACGCACATTTTGTTGTTGCTTGGATTGAAACGATGAAGATTTCCTCTTTTCAAACTCTCTTAGTTGTTGCTGGCACAGTGAACTTGTGCAAGAGACGTCTTCGAGTTCTTCGGGCTGAAGCACCTCGAGCAAGATGCCATAAACGAATCTTGCTAGAGTTGCTTCAGCCCGAAGAACTGAAAGGCAGCTGTGGAGAGGTTCAAATAATGCTGGATTACAGGAATCTCCAATGAGCACATCATTTATTTATTTGGAGGACCAAGAAGCACAGTGATGTATGATAATGTCATACTTGGCATCTGACACTGGCACAGAAATAAAGAGGACGTCCTATTTGATTCTTTGCTAGTGTCCGATGCCGAGTATGACATTATCAAGCACCACAGTGCTTTGCAGGTTCTCCAAATGATGTGCTCGTTGGAGATTCCTGTTATCAAGATGAATATTAACGATTGTGTTGCTGGCGAGCCCATGCAAACTGAACAAAAGCCGTGGCCATGCATATTGTTTCCCATAACAGTACCAACGTACCAACTTTTCCTTGCTTGGAATTGTCGAGTCAGAGTCAGAGTCAGTCCAGTTCTCGAGGCTGAAGCAACTCTAACACCGTCTAGTAAAGGCGCGGAATTGAATCCTTGTTTCCATCATTGATTGCCGGACGAAGAACCTTGCTCCATCGTCCTCTGTCTGCGGAAGTACCTACCCAATCATTGGATCACCATTCTTGAGGGCAACATGGAGTCGAGTCACTCGCTTCAAATAAATTCAAAGAGGACAGGGGCCATGCTGACGACCTTGCAGTTTGCCGCGGGTTGCACTTCGGGGTCAAGCGAAACCCATGCGTGATCAAAGTGGTGGCTCGTGTCGACCACACCGTATTCGTCTCAAGTCTCAAGTCTTCTATCTAGTGGCTAGCTACGGTAGCCACTGAAAAGCACTTTGGTTGCCTATGATGCTGACATGTTCTCTGCATACTGCCCTTCTACTGAGGAGTTGAGAATTCTCGCACTGCCAAAGTCTTCCAGCTTCTTGGCTTTGGCCTTTTTGCTGTTGTTTTCCTTGCAGCCTGAAGTGACTGTGTTCTTGACTGAGTGACGCAATGGGAGGTAATAAGAGATAGCTACTCAGTACGTGGTATTGCTTCTTTGGTCTGCTTTGCCAGCTAGCTAGCCAGTGATGAAGTGCATTGCCTCTACATGTATGCCATAGTAACTGTTGTTTCAGGTGCCTCCATTCTCAACACTGACCGTCAGGAAGGATACCCGGTGTTCTGAAAAGAGAGTGTTACTAATGCGCTACGAGTACTACTAGTACTCTATCTAGTAGCGGCAGTGCTGGTACGTATGGCTTCTGCCGACCTTCACACTTTGCACCTTCCAACATTTCGCTTGGTAGTCAAGATGCGACGGACGAAGCACAGACGTAGAAAGCACAAAACAGACTTCAAAAGTTTACTGTACGTGTATACCATCTCGAAACACCTGGACGATGACCGATTCGATTGGACCGAACTATTAATAGACCCTGCCACGCTGCGCGCTAGTGTGCCGGGTTAACGGACCGTATAACTTTCAGGCTGGCCGGCTTCTTCGAATCATGGCCTAAAATTTACTATACAGCAAATTAACTTTGTGAGTAAACTTACTTAGTTCAGTCACTTTTTGCTAAAATCGTATGAATTTTAAAAGTACTTGTGTAGAATCCTACAGCGGACTAGCAGGGTTTTTAAGGCCTAAAACGTACTATATAAAATTAAGTACTTGTGTAGAATCCTACAGCGGACTACCAGGGTTTTTAAGGCCTAAAACGTACTATAGAAAATTAAGTACTTGTGTAGAATCCTACAGCGGACTACCAGGGTTTTTAAGGCCTAAAAAGTACTATAGAAATTAAGTACTTGTGTAGAATCTACAGCGGACTACCAGGGTTTTTAGGCCTAAAATACTATAGAAAATTAAGTACTTGTGTAGAATCCTACAGCGGACTACCAGGTTTTTAAGGCCTAAAAAGTACTATAGCAAATTAAGTACTTGTGTAGAATCCTACAGCGGACTACCAGATTTTTTTATGGTGTATGTACTGGTACTGGGTGCGATCGTACGGAATACTGCTCCTACGGTTCAACTATGATAAACACACCCACTATGACGGTCGCCATGAGTAAGTAAAAGAAAAGATCTATTGCGTAAACCCTTAAGTACGGTACGCTGGGCGATCTCGGGAGATCCACGAGATCCAAAATCACCCGAGCTCGTCCCCCCATTGTGGATGTTCAGAGGCTATACCTGGTACTGACCGAAAAGAAATATTCTTTGAAAAACGTTTAGGCTTCTCTACTACCTAACTAGGCGGATGGTGCGACCACAATGTTGCGTTCGTTGTGGCAGCGGGGTGACCCTTGTTGAGTTGTCTGTTGTTTCTCTGAAGAGTAAAAGTTTGTGTCAAAGACCTTATTGAAGTAAGCAATGTCTGCCTGCCTGTGGCGAGGAATCAAGTGACGATATGGGACAAACAAGAGGTAGTCCTTGTTGTGAGGGATGGCGTGGTGAAGCTGGTGATGAATGGTAGGCTTCAAGACATAATCCAAGATTGGGCAAAAGTACATGGCGGAATAGGGACTAACAGAATGCAGGGCGCCATCATGAAAGGATAGTAGATAGGGAACCAGTAGGTGAAAGCCCACCTCACTGCCGCTGAAATACTGAAAGGCCAGAAGCAAGGCAGGGGCTCCTGCGTTTTCAATCAGCAAATCAAAGATATCAATGTAGAAGGCGTGCATGCCTTGGGCGTCTTTGCCAATGCTGTGGTGGGTTTTGTGCAAGTGGTAAAAGTACTTGGTATGCAGCAGCTGGTGGAAAGGCCACAAGAAGACAACATCTCGCAGAACCAGCAAAGTGTAGAACGGGAGATATACCTCTGCAACCAAGAACCAGATAAAGTTGCTGCCGTTGCCGAACTTGTTGGTCTCAGTATAGGTCAAACCATGGTATTCAATGATGCAAAAGGTACAGATGGATACAATGGCTGTTTGAAGCACAAACATGATATCCATCTTGGTCAGCTGCTTGCTGTTCTGTTTGGACCTTGGAACCAGACTTCCCAAAAACCAAAAATGAATTAGTTCACGGACGTAAATCAAGGCAATGGAAAGGACGGCGCTCAGAGTCATGCACAAGAGCAGTCTCCAGGATAGCAGCCCCATTCCGATCTTGCCAGCTTGAACAGCTGGACTAGGATTGGAGCCATGAAGACACCACCCAATCATTGCAGCTGCCCCGCAGCATGAATAATCAATCAACTGTGTAATGATCCATCGCCCCAGATCTGCGTTCCATGCTGATGCATCTGTTTTGCAAGAATCAATCTCCCCGATTTCTGTGGCGG